CCCCAAAACCCCAAAACCCCAAAACCCCAAAACCCCTTTAAAACTTATAAAAATTGACAAAATCAGTGGAAATGAGTAAGGATTTTGAAACTTTGTGAAGAAGCCATTCGAGGGTTTGATGGCTCTGTGGGGCAAATTTTGTACGGAATTAATGCAAGAAATGCGACTGGGAGACTTATTTGAGATTTTTAGTAGAAAATTACTTGGAATTTAGGTATCAAAAGACAAAGTAAGGAAACCTGGAAAAAGAGCATGAGCAGATCGGACTCTGGAAGAGATGTTATTGACCTCACGGATACTAAACCTGAGCATGTTGCGTCAAGAGTTTCTAATGTTAAGAAAAAGTTTGTGACCCTGAGCGAGCTTGGAAATCAGAGTCTTTCACAGTATCTGAAGTTTATTAAGTAAGCAAAATTCTTTACTTTTAAGGGAGATGAAAATGCCAAGATCTGAAACGAAGGAGTTCAAAATCCGAAAGTTATTTATCACTCCTCTGATGCTAGGAATTGAGGAGATAAAGGAAAACGATCCTTCCACTATTATTCTGAGAAGGACTCCTGCAAGTAATATTTGATACATGATCTTGTTTAGGCAAAATTACCAGCTGGAAAAAGGCATATGAGCAATGAGATATATTAGCATCTGCTATAGTCCATCAGCTGACTGCCTATAAGAAGAGTAACCCAGCGATTAAGGATAATAGTCAGATGTCAAGATTGGTCCATGCACTCAATAACACAGGTAATTAGGATATACAAACCAATAGGCAACCAAAAATTGAGAATGAAGTTGCTAACTTGTGTGATTTCTGCAGATAAGTTTGTCAGGATGACTCCTGAAGACTTAGAGCCTGAAGATAAATAAGCGGAAAAAGGCTGAAGTAGAAGTTAACTATCTAAAACAGAATGTTATTGATAATGTAAGTCCTTACTCTTCAGCTCTCTGGAGTTTCTTCTAGAGCCATTCCAGACTGATATTTAGAGCACACCCCTGCTATTTCTAAAATCACGGAAAGAGGATAGGGCCATTAACCTTGGAGAAGGTAAGAGTTCAGTAAAATTTGGTTCTAGGTGTAACTCATGATGTCAGCGAAGACCTTAATGTTGATACTGGTGCTGAAAGTAGCACAGTCATAACCAGAGCCGAAGAGTCAAAAGAACACTCGTAGGTACCTCTTTGTCATGATATCAGCAAACTCAGGGGGAGCCTAAAGGCAAGCAAGCAGATAGCCATGACTAGAGAGAACAGTCAGGTATCTTTCCGTCTAAAATTTTAGTCTAAGATTGATCCTATCTTTGAAGATACTAGTATTTGTTGTATCAGTACTCAGAGTTATGAAGACAAGCTGCTCTTATAAACGAGTGTTTTGATAGGGATATCTCAAGATTTATAGATAAGAAGTTAAGCCAGATCCTGACCAAGAGTGATGCCTCAAATTACCAGAAATTATGCGCCAGAGCCCAGAAGAACGCTAGTAAAGCACTTGGGAGTATTCAGAAGGGATTTATACAACTTAAGGAGAGTAAAAAGAAGGATGAGATTTTGAGGAATAGGATTCGATTTTAAAACAAACTTTACTTAAAAATTTCACCGAAAATTATGATGTTTAGTCTGTACTTTTGTGTACAAGGGTTCATCAAGAGGATATGACCAGTGCAAGTCATTTGAGTGCCTGCATAATGTAGCTTTCAATTTCTGGATGAAAATATGGGGTTTTGGGGTTTTGGGGTTTTGGGGTTTTGGGG